TTGGTTGGGTGGTCTGTAGTAGACCCCTACTGTTAAGTCCCTTTGGAAGAGCCTATGCTCCTTAAAGAAAGGAGAGGGAGCTTGGGATAATCCAATCTGAACCCAAACCTTGGTCTAATCAGTTGGGTTTTTATATCCCTCTACCAAAAGACAAAGCATCCCTCATACCAAAAAACCCTCATGTGATACTGTACAGGCCCTGAAGCATTAGCAAGGATTAATATACACAGCTACAGATACCAACCATGTCTTTCAGAATCCAGCCACCGCTTTGATTTTCCTCACATGCTGAAGTTAAAAGTTACAAGTGCTGTAATCATGCCCCCACCCAGCCTGAAGTCAATAGTTCCAAATAATGTTTTCTGAGTATGCCAGAGGGACCACCACACCCACAATGAATCATCAGGCGAGAAAAAATGAATTAGTCTTCAGCATCAGTCTTAAGCATCAATTTTAGCAGGCCCCTGTCCAAGGCCAAAGTACAGCTAAAACTAATGATTTCTGGTAGGACAAGTGAAACAGATGAAAGTTTCATCTATCATTTCTTTTTTGCCTCAAAGGATGATGCCTGTGATAGCATCGATAAAATACATTATGGTTAAAGAATGACAGCTGATCCTACCAGGCTATGGGGTTACTCAGCTGCAGGCTTGCCTCTGCCAAACTGTTGCTTCATTCAGAACCATTTAGGATGACAAAGTAGAAGAACCAGTTTATCCCATCCTTCACCAGGGACTACAAAATATTTTTACTAATCACTTTCCACAGTTAGGCTACCAGCTGTGCTTGCATGCCTGCTGTTCTTCCAGGGCTCCTGCACAGCTTAGAAATACTCAGCAAAGTGAACACAGACTGGATAAAGAGACTGCCGATACTCTACAGGTCAGGCCTGTTGGTCCAAAACAAGCTATTGAAAATACAAACAACCAGTATAAGCCATGGGGTACAGGCAGCAATTCTCCATAGAGGTCTCCATAAAAGAGAACTCACCCCTGCTTTCCAAAGTCTCTCTCACTTCAGTATATTCATTTTTCCTTCCCTCACATTTAAAGCTGTGCACAGCTCTACCCTTGCCTAAATCTCTGCCCTCATCACTACCACCTGTGCTCCACCTAACTTGCTTTCTTCATTACCACTTAAACTTCATCCACCACTCCTTCCTTTGCTCACTCCTGATCTCTCATTGCCTCTCTCATGGCCTACACCTGGAACAGTCTCCCTAAACATGGACACCGAGTGCCTTTCCTCCCATCCTTCAGATCACTTCTGCAAGGGCATCAAACAAGGATGCCAAGTAATTCTTTGTCTTAATTATCTGTTGTAGGACTGCTTGCCAGTCTAGTCACAAACTCACTGGGGCAAGAAGCTGCACTGCTGCAATGCTTCTGTCTGCTAGCTCCATTTTTAGTGTCTTATTCTTTGAAGACATCTATATGAGGAGTTATTTTGGAACAACTATTCCCTAGCATGGGGGAACTCTCTTATTCTGGAATTAGAGTGTTTTATTCTAATTTAGTCTGGTTTGGATTACCCCATTGCATTTGACCCATTTAGGATTAAATTAGAAACAAGGCTAATTCCACAACAAAACCATCCTTACACCAGGAATCAAACCTAAACAGTTGCTCTTCTTTAAACTCAGACCCTACCTGAATTAATTTCCCCCTGTAAACAAGACCTTAAATGGTTAAATCTTTGGGAAAAGAAAGGACTCTCCATACTTGTCAGCACAGTGGGGCTGTGATTGCTGGTTGGGGCTGCAGAATGTTACTGTAATACACACAATAACCAACTGCAATGAGGCAAGAATCAGGACAGCAAGATCGTGGTCAAGGTAATAAGGGGCCACTCTCCCTGGCATTCTGCTTGGATGTGGCATCACCAGGAACATCCCATACCTCTGACAGTCATGCAATTCAGATGGGAATATGCAATCATCTGCAGCAAAGGGAACTATACAGCTAAGACAGAGAGCCTGGTGTAACTCCCCTTTTAGGAACAAGGGAGGCTCCTACCTGTATCTGCAAGGGAAGGGATGGGACCCAGCAGAAAAACAGGTGAGGACCTCAGCCAAGCAAACAAGTGAAGGTCCACCAGGCCTCCTGAATACAGGGTACAGCGCCCACCATGTGGCAGCACAAGCCCTGTAGGCGGGGGTGGGGGTTGTGGCTGGGAGGCACCATGCTGGAAATAGGGATCTGGGGACCAATGTCATGTGCATTGCAGCACCCCAGGGAGCCCTGGGACTGCCTGGGCTGGGGGCTGTGCAACCTGCTCAGCTGAAGAGGGCCTGAAGCGGGATAGGGGTGGGGGGTACTGGATGACAAAGCAGCACAGGGTAGGGGTGGAAGGAGACTAAGAACCAACCTCCAAGCTGAGGGGAGCATGGCTGGAAGAGGGGTGTGGGTGTGTTAGGGAAAGGGCGGGGGTGAGTGTGTGTTGGACGGAAGACAGGGAAAAGGGGAGCATGGCTGGGAGCTCTGTGTTAGGGACCTAGAGGGGGTGCAACGCAGAGAAGGAGGCGAGGTGCAGTGGAAGACGAGGCGGGAGGGAGGGGCTTGCAGTAGGAAGGGAGACAGGAAAGAACCAATCGAACGGGTGGGGGCGAAACGCGCGGAGTCACTAGGAGAGACCCCTCCGCTCCCCCGTAGCGCCGCGGGAGCAGGCTCACTGGCCCCTCCCGGAAGTGTGGCGGTTGCTAGGCGGCGGTTGCCAGGCTACGGCGGCGGCTGTAGCCGGGCCGGGCCGATGGCGGACGTGGAGCCCGAGGAACTGGTCGGCACCTTCCCCAGCCTTATGGCCGAGGGCGCGCTGCTCAGCCGGCGCGGGGAGCACAGCAAGGCGCTGCTCTGCTTCACTAACGTGAGGGCGCCGCCATGACACAGACGTCATGAATATGCATGAGCGCTCCTTCCACCCCCCCCTGGGCGGGGTCAAGGGTCAGGGCAGGGGCCACGTGGCGGGGGCGTGAGGGGCGGCCGCGGGGGGAATTTGCTTTTGTGCCTGGAGCTGGGACCCAGGGGGATGCGAAGGGGACGGGGCAGGCAGTATTGAGAGAAGGGCGAGTGGCGGCTTCGTGGCCTCCGCCCTTGCCAGCCCCTTGGGGCAGAGCTCTCCACCCGCGCCACGGCCTCCCCACGTGGGGGTGGGACTGAGCCACCCCGCTTCGCTATTAGCTCCCTCCAGGCTGCTAGCCGTAGAGGCAGAGCGGTCCGAGGAAGGCTACCTACATCAGCGAGTCTCAAACTGGGTCCTCGAGACCCTTTTGAGGGGCTGGCTGGGTGCCGCTTGGTGTGAGCATGATCAACTTGAGATTTCAAATGTGCCTCTAGCGTTGCAGGTGCTCTGCTCTGCTCTGAGTTTTCTGAGCCCTTTGCAACAGAGGAGTTGTTTTGCTGGGGTTTTTTTTGAGGAGTGGGGGGAACAAGTGGGAGACAAGAAAAAAACAGTTGGCGTTTTCTGAGAGGTACCTCGAGTTTCCACAGGTTGACAACCGCAGATGGAGGCAGCAGGAGGGCGGGAGCTGGGACTCTTGGGTTCTGCTTCTGCCTCCCACTGCGGAGTCTCTCTCAGCACTTTGCCCTCTCTGTGACCCAGCTTCCCCCCTGCGGATTAATTACCTTTGCCCACCTTGGGGAAGGTTGTGATGCTTGGGATGTGCCTTGAGTTTTTTGACCTAGAAGTCTCATCTACATGCAGTGAGTTCTCCACAGATGGGTCCAGCGTGTGTTTTCCATCTTGCCAAGCTCAGGTAACTGAGTACATCTCTGTGTTCGCACCCCAGGCTCTGCAGCTTCAAAAAGGGGATAAGCACTGTCTGGTTGCTCGCTCAAAATGTTACCTGAAGCTGGGGGACACAGAAAATTCCCTGAAAGATGCAGAAGCCTCTCTTCAAAATGACAAAACATTTTCCAAGGTAAAGAGTACTTGGGCAAGTGATAGGTGTACTGCCAGAAGCAAAGGGAAGTATAATTTTCCTGCTTTTCCTACACTTTTTATTCCTACACCAGGCAGCAATTTTTGTCTTGGTGGATTGTCTGAATTTACAATGTTTAGTTATTATGATCCTGTAATTACATTCAGTTGTAGAGCTGCTACCCTCTTCTGTTGCTAGCTCTGCTGCTTTTATAAGAGGACGTAGTTGTCTTGAGACATGATCATTTATCAAACTAAAATCCCACATCTGCCAGGGAGACTTAGGTCTTAGATTTAGACTTTCCATTAAAGTTAATTGGACAGGCTTAGGCTGTATGCCAGCTAAAAGTAAATGGCTGTCAATATTTACACTTGAATAGCAGCATGAGCCCAATCCTACTTTACGAAACCTCATTAGTGAAGTTTCCAATGAAGTGCAAGATAGCTACCTGCACAGGTTTCGTATACAGTAGAGGTACCATACAGCTCTGATCAGATTACTCTGATCTTGTGAGTAATTCATTGAATTTTGTGCCAACTGATTTTTCATCATTACAGGGACTGTACCAAAAAGCTGAGACCCTCTACACTATGGGTGACTTCGAATTTGCATTAGTGTTTTATCACCGGGGCCATAAACTACGTCCAGAACTACAGAAATTCAGATTAGGGATCCAAAAAGCTCAGGAAGCGATTGACAACTGCGTTGGAAGTAAGATGTGATGTTTTCTAGAGCCTATAATCATATGCAAAAGCAAGCAGTTAAGTAACTGCTCATTTGCTGCACTGTCTCATGCACTGTATTAGTTCCTCAACTGCTTCAAACACCAGAGGACATTGCACAGTGAGGGCTGTCTGGTTCTTGAACAACACACGTAATTGCCATTTTCAGCTGAGCTCTGGGACCATTCAAACAGGATCCAACCCTTATTTTTGTCTTGGTGGGTAGTCTGAATTTAGAGCATTTAATTATTACCCTGTAATGACATTCAGTTGTAGATCTGACCCCTGTGAACTATGCTTTCATGACCACAAAGTTACAAAGCCCCAAACCCAATAAATGCTCCAGCCAGGACAAAACAGAACAGCACATTTGTTTGGCATCTTCCTGCTCTTCTCTCTGCGTTTGTCCCCCACTGACTACTAAGATCTCTGTCCTGATGTTCAAAGTAGGGTCAGAGTAGGTTAATCGAGGAAATATACAAGAAGGAAGAGTTTTTTGGTTACATCTTTTATTGGACCAACTGTATAGTTGGGAGAGTTTTTAGAAGGGCACTTGGTGCCCAAAACCTTGATTAACATCTTTCCCAACCATACAATTGGTCCAATAAAAGATATCACCCCCCACAAAAAAAAACCCTAAACCTTCTCTGATATTTTAAGTTTTTCAAGAAAACTGTGTTGGCTACTTGAGACACATTTTCCTCTGTGATCTTGGTCTACCACAGCTAGGTAGCCTGAGACCAGATAAACTGTTGATGATTAAAAGGAGGTATCTTTTTAATTGAATTTGGACCTAGATACCAGACATCAGTTCTGCCAGAGCAAAGAATGACCCTGTATTCAGAGTTAAAACTATTTTTTTCTATTTGGCTTTTCCTCAATCATGTCATCCCACGTGTTCTCAGAGACTGACACACAGCATGCCTATTCAGACAAAAAGACTTGCAGCACTTCCACTTGAAGATAAAGCACACACTGACAACAGTTGCACCTATGTACATACACAAATCCAGATCCTCAGAAATATGTAGATGCCTAACTTCCACCGAAATCAGTTTTGCAATTTGAGATCAAAGCAAAGTAGAAACCCAGATGATCTGAATGCCCTGGATATGCCTAAACCCCAAACCCCTTTCTTCCTGATGTGCCCTAAAAACACAGTGGAGGTTTTGCTGGTAGATAGGCTTCAGATTCCTCCTTAGCTGCTCTTTTGGATTGAACCGTGCCAAATATAAAAAAAGGCAGAAAACCCAGCATTTTATAAGTATTTTAAGCACCTAAATACCTTTAAAAATCTGCATTGAAGCATCTGTCATGTTTGAAACATTTATAAAACTGAATGGCTCTTACATACCTATAAGCATCTGGGCCAATTATAAGGAACAATATATTCACTGATAAAAAGGAACAAGCTATTCACTAATCATGCTGTATCTCCTCCAGTCTGGAGGGGGTGGGTGGGGAAACCCAAGGGGC